TCCATCCCCGGTTAGGACTTTACCAGTACCACCAGGGACAGGGACCTGCCTTAGAGGCCCTATCTAACACTAACAGATCTTGGGGTTGTGTTCCAAAACCACCAGCCTGACAGATAATAGATAATAGAGAACTCTGGGAGTTTTCTTTGCCCTATTCCTAAGAAGGGCTCTTTAATTGAAAAGGAAGGAAACTGGCAGTGCCCTCGGGGTCCCCTGGATCTGTTTCTTGCTTCAACAGTATTTGAACAGAACAGACCCAGGGACACCCCTTCTTCCAGCTTCTGACCACCCTCCAACCTCTTTTTCAGTCACCACCTTCGGAATCATCTCAGCCATCCTCGGCCTCTGGGACCAGCCAACATTGTTTTTTGATTAACTCATTGCGGGGCAGCCATGAGCTCCCAAATTCGTCAGAACTATTCCACCAAGGTAGAGGCTGGTATCAACCGCCTGGTCAACCTGCATCTGCAGGCCTTCTATACCTACCTCTCTCTCAGCTTCTATTTCAGCCACCAAGATGTGGCTCTGGAGGGCATGGGCCACTTCTTCCGCGAGTTAGCTGAAGAGAAGCACAAAGGTGCCGACCGTCTTTTAAAGATGCAAAACCAGCGCGGCGGCAAGGGCTTCTTCCAGAAGGTGCAGAAGCCTTCTCAAGATGAGTGGGATAAAGCTGAGGATGCCATGGAAGCCGCCATGGCCTTGGAGAAGAGCCTGAACCAGGCCCTTTTGGACCTGCATGCCCTGGGTTCTGCCAGCATAGACCCCCATCTTTGTGGCTTCCTGAAGAACCACTTCCTGGGTGAGGAGGTGAAGATCATCCAGAAGATGGGCGACCACCTGACCCACCTCCAGAAGCTGGCCAGCCCTGGGGCTGGAAAGGCTGAGTATCTCTTCAAAAGGCTCACCCTCAAGGACTAGGAGCCTTTAGAGCCCAGAGGCCTTTGTGGGGCCCCTCTGTACCCCTCTAGTGTCTGGCTTCTGTTTGAGCCTCTCACTGAAACCATTAGGCATCCTTTTAACTACCCTGAAGCCCTCTCCCATGTTTTGGACCAAAGGTTAACAATAAAGTTTTTTGCAGCAAAAAAAAAAAAAAAAAAGGAAACTAAGTTGCTGATTGCCTATTATATGTCAAACACCGTTTCACTTATTAGTATTTCCATAAAATCATAATACAAAAGGATAAATAGGCACAGATAATGTAATTCCAACGTTGCAGACCTATTAAAGAACTGTTCATACCAGCTGAAGCCAGCTTTGAAATGGATTGTGGTAGCATATTCTGGCCACCAGAGGGCAGAGGCAGACTACATACGGGAGACAATTTAGCCGGTTGAAGAAACTTAGGAGCAGTCACTTGTAATTTCTCTTGACAAGGTAGACATTGAGAGGGGAAGTGCTGCAAAAGGAAGACTGAGAACTGTCCTTACCCCTGTATCCACACTTCCACCTCTCCCACAGAGTTGAGAGATGTAGAAAGGGGAGGACATGTAGGGAGAGGCTTCACTGAAGACATGGGAGATGGTAGGGTACAGATTATCCCTCACAGTGTTGTGCTCCAGTTAGGAATTCCACTCCCAGTTCTCTTAGTCGGTATAAGGTGTTAGCCTCAACTGACTAATGAAAAAAAATGTGATTCAGAATTCACTTACTTAAATGCAGAGTTGGGCAAGGTAAAACATAAGTCAGATTTGGGTTTCTGATTCCAGCACAGTACATAACAGAGACATAGCACATGAAAACTGGAAGAGTTCTCAATCTATCCTCCTTCCCTCTTCGCCGATGGAAAAAGAGTCCCCCGAGGGTTGACCTACTCCTCAGAGCCACAAGCAAACAGGAAGAATCGGGTTTCTTTATGCTTTATGGCTTTCTATAAGGACAAATCCTCTTTTACAGTTAGGGAAAATTAATGACTAAATCACTCTGAAGGTAAAAAGATGGTATTTTAAGCTCACTGGTGACCTAAATGTACTTCTTAGTTAGAACCCCATCTTGCACTTAAATAATTTAGACACAGAATATTTTATTAGCATAACAATTTATTAGCAAATGACATACCACCTCTAGATTTCAACACATATAGGATCTTACGTAGTAATCATCATGAACATATCCTTCCAGCAGAAAAGGATCTGCTAGTAACCTACTCCCCCTCTCCTGCAATAGGCTGCAGTCATAACTCATCTTCATTCCATAGAGAGTTAAGCATCATTTATGTGGAATAGCATCAAGGCACTTGCTTTAAAAAAGATATATGTGGTATAAAACACGTTCTTAAAAGTTACTGGTCTTGAATAATTGGGGGGAAGAGGGCAGTATACTTTTTTGGTGAAGTGATGAGACTCAGAATTTGAGTTCATTCATGTGTCACCTTGATATTGTCTTGATTTGTATATTAAATTGCAAAGGAGACAAAAAGGTAGCATTTTATATAAACTGGTTTGTTCACAATGATTTTTGAGAAGTCATGGCAGCATCAGAATTCAAACAATAATTTCCCAACGGATTTGAATTAAAAGACAATAGCCATTCCACTCCAAGTATTACCTAATTATTTTAGGGATGGGGAATGTGGCAGGGGTAGAGGACTCCTTAAAATAAGTTTATTAAACCTGCAGTTAAAAATCCTTTCTGGCTTAGGCTGCTTGTCTGTTTGCCAACTAAAAAATCTTCAGTTAGAAATTCAGTCACTGGTATTTTGTAATAAGATTGTGATTATTTGGCCTTTTTCAGAATCATGACTCAAGTCCAAGAAAGGTTATATACATGGATCCAGTGTAGACTTACAAACATGGTATCTCCAGTAAAGGCATCTGGTGTCCTCCATTATTCCAGTTTTCACAATTCAATCTCTCCTTCCTATTTTATATCACGAAGAGGAAAAGAAAATACATACCACCACCCCCACAACTGAATAATGCTTATTAACTTTCCTAACTGTATTTAACATGTTTACTTTAAAATTTGAAGTGCAAAACACTTTTAAAAAAATAGTCCTTGTCAGGATAAAAATTACCTTATAAAAATAAATCTCCCCCACTCCCACATCTAAATTCTTCATTCCTAGTTACTAATATATATATTTTTAAAAACTAAAATGTACCTTTAAGTTACAGTATTTCAATAGAATTTTACCTTAATAATAGGCTATGATAACAAACCAGCTGGTGTATTATTTTGGCCTGTTCCATTATAATTAGAAATTGTTGTTGTTAGCACTCAGATTAATGATTCCATTTATGATTATCTACAATCTTTATACTGGTGCTGTCCCTCTGGGGAGCATGCCTGTCCCCCACTTCCCTCTAGGTAGTTACCTTTGCCTTTCTCTCTCCTAAGCTCCAAGGGCCCTTCTTTTGCTTCTGTAACTTGTTTCGTGGGCCCAGGCGGCCCAGCTGGCTCACTTCTACTACCTCTGTAACTTTCTAAATAAACTTTCTCTTATAATTTGAAACAAAAACAAACAAAAATCNGTGGGCCCAGGCGCCCCAGCTGGCTCACTTCTACTACCTCTGTAACTTTCTAAATAAACTTTCTCTTATAATTTGAAACAAAAACAAACAAAAATCTTTATACAAAAAATAAAGCCAAATTACTTCTGAGCCTAAGAACTTTCTAGATCCAATTTCCTCCTTTTGCAGTTTTTAAGCCCAGTTTCAAATAAAGCATCACTAGAACAGATAAAGAAAACATTAGAGGAAAAAATAAGAGAGAAACATTAAAGAACAGAAAAATTAGGTAAAGTCTAAATCCTATCAATTGAGTTTTTACCATGTCACTGTAAAATCATTCTCTGAATAGACCAAGGCATCCCTGCCTCAGTTGCTTGCCTCCTGCTCAGACCTCAGTCCAGGCTCAGCTCAACTCCTCCATAAAGCACCTCCAAGCACCACTGTGTGTCACCCAGAAGGGTTACCATACAGCCCCCTACTGGATTTAGTATCATCGTTGCAGCATCTGGCAGAGCCCTAGACTTTTGCATAGATCCTCAGGAAGTGTTTGAGGAATTATCTACATCGATGCAAAAAGAACCTACAGCTCATCTATAGCACTATATCAGGGGTGGGGGACCTTTTTTCTACCAAGGGCCACTTAGATATTTATAACATCATTCAAGGGCCATACAAAATTACCAACTTAAAAATTAGCTATGAAAAAAGCTCCTAGATTTATTGAATTTTGAGTCCCGCCTGTGATTGCCTTGATAGGGTCAGACCAAATGATTTCTCAGGCCACATACAGCCCATGGGCCAGAGTTCCCCACCCCTGCACTACACAGAGGAAAACCATTCATTAATAAGGATCATAGACCTTGAATTTATCATTATAACTCCTAGACTCAATTTTAAGTTCCCAAGAAATTCACTGCAGCCCCTTTCTAAGGTCAGAGCTAACACCCAGACAATGTGTTCTTAAATGACAAATTACTGAGAGAACACAATACATGTTTAAAAGATCACCATTTATCATACTCTAAATTTAGCAACAAATTTGGCTTCAATGTCTACTATTGTTTAAAAAAGTAAGTCAGACTACCCAAATCTTGTTTTCCTTTGGTCCTAATTTAAAAGTTTAAAAAGTAATTGTCAACTAGATATCTGTCCATTTTACCGCCATCAGAGGCAGAGACAGTACTGTCGTCACTAGTGTTCCAGAGTAGGTCAACCTGGGCTTTTGTCCCAAGGCTGGCTACTGCATGCTCCTCAGCTCTTTCACCTCTGGTGAATCTGTGCCCCTCTCTTTCTAGAAACAGAACCCAGTTTTGACCTTGCTCTCAAACTAAGGTGTGGCTCCTAATCCTGACCTCCCTGCTGCTGTGTGGGGCTAACCAGGGACTGGATCCTATCCCATTGAGTCCCTCTGTTTCCTCCTTTGTTTGGTAAGGGATTCTTTTCAATGGTTTATTCCTTTCACCCATCTCTTGAATGTCAATCCTTAGTCTCTTTGTGCATGGGCACCCTCCACCCCTCTGACTGTAGCAAATCTAAAAATAAATAAGGTTGTACATTTTTAACTTACATTTTAATGTGTGTACACAATACATTTCAATTAAGTGACCATTTTAAGATATTCAGAATTTTGTACATTTGTCAATAAGCACTGAAAAAATATTTCACTTAGACATGAAATTTAGAGTAAACAAGATATTTTTGAACCTTAATAAGCTTGTAAAATATCACCTAATGAACTAAAAATTCAAGGCTTTGGGTAAGAAAGCAAAGGAAATGAAAACATTAGTTTTGCTGGTGAATTAAGATTTGGTTTCATGCTTGATCTCTTTAAATACCAGCAAAAAAATTTTAAAACGTGTACACATAGGCTGACCTAGACCCAAGCAGAAAGGGTAAGATATAAATTCCAGTGAAATCTTAAATGTTTTTATAACTTGCAACCAAAAGCAGAATCTCTTGTTTGTTTGGGTGGGAGAGGGACAAACCAGAGCACAATTCAAGACTTTGCTAAATGCATAAAGCTCCACAATTGTTGATATCCACATATGGAGAGAAATGTTAGGTAAAGGTCAAATTCTGTTACCCCATTCTTCTAAGGGGTTTTTCAAATTCTTTGGACTTTTTTTGTTTTTTCCATGCTAGTGTTTGCTAAATTATAGAGTTGTCTTAAACATGTACTCTACTCTGTCACACAGCATTAGACATCTATAATGGTCTGGATTCAAACCTGGCTTGGGGGCAGAAAGCAAGAATGTAGGAGCAGGTTAAAAAATGATATTGCACTTTTGCAAATATTATTGTTTTAAATGGTGTGGGTAAATGTTTCAATCTCACATAAATGAGTATCCTAGTCCTAATTTTGGAAAAGCTGGTTTTTTCTAGCCTATCAAGGTCCAGATATAGAACTCTAAGCATCCAATGTCAGACATTCTTGCTTTTCAAAAGGGACTCTCTCTACAGCCACAACCTGTGGCCAGCTATCATAAATAACTGGGTTGTATGAATGTGACACTTCTAAATCCTCTTGCACAATAGTTTTAGGTGGCCCAAAAAGTTCAAAGCTGTCACTATTATCAATAATTGTTGTAAATCAACAGGGTTCATGGCAGTAACATTAGCTTTGTTTTCACTAAAACATCTACAAATTAATTATTGATGCTCCTATGGAAGCTTCTGTGCATTCTTTTCTGTTGGTTCCAATAAATTTTTCTTGCAGAGGAAAGATGAACAGTAACTTCTATTCGAGAAAGACTGTCAGTCTCCAACTGACCCCTGCTAAAATGCCATGGGAAGAAAAAAAAAAATCACTGCTAAGTAAACAAATTCTTAAGGGAAACTGTCAATCATTCCTATTTGCAATCTGTCCTTAACAGTTTGCCTCAAGCTCATTTAAAATGCTGTATAGAATTGCAGTCAGCATTCTGCCTTTTATCTGGCAAGCTTGTCACTGGTAATCAGACACAGCTGTTTAGGAGAGATTCCATGGAAAATACACTGAATTACTGAAAGCTAAAATAGAGCTCAGTGGTAGAGAAATACTCAGAAACAGGGATAGACAGAGATCACAGAAAAGAGAGGGAGGATTCCCATTATTTTTGCTAGTTATGAAAAGCTCTTTGCTTACCTACTTACCCTGAACAAAAAGGCATGACCAAAAACATCAAATGATTTACAAAGAGTGTCCTGTATAATGTGAAATTGACCGGTAGGATTTCAAAAACATACCTAGCCATCAGACTCCTGATGGGCCTGTGCCCACGGTTCCCTGCCTTAAGGAAAGGAATGGTGCTTTCCTATTAAAAGCCAAAGATCCTACTGCCATTTGGGAAGCAGAAACTGGGTATGCAGAAGTACAAATAAGAAATTTGTGTAGTTATTACCTTGGGCTCCAGAGGTCTCTTGACTTGCTGGTACAATAGCAGACACAACATTCTTTCCCTGCCTCCTTTCCACTCTCTCTCCAAAAAGCCATATGATGTAGGCTCCAGCACTTCTCATGTAAAATGCCAACTTCACCCCCCTTTACCCCGTGAAGAAGGAAGAGTCCAAATACATATCTCCTCAAAGAGGATGGTCATTAAGTGTAAGGGCTACTTCACAGTTCACCTCAATAGATACTTAATTTCAAGAATACTTCCTATCTGCAAGAAAGCATAGAACCACGATATCTCCTTCTTTCTGATCCTAACTAGGAGCTCTGCTGCATCTGTGTATCTACAAAGGCCATCAGCTTCGAAGGAAGGATAATGTCTAGTCAACAGGTTAAAATTTCAAGTGTGCAAGCTGCTATTGGCCAGACATTCTTCCTCCTTCCACCTACTTATCCAGCTGATCACTGGAAAGACTCAGACCATTGGGAATACACGTTCCTTTCAGATTTTGAGATTCTTCTGCAAAAGCTATCGCTTCATATACACTATAAAAAAGGTTTTCGTCTTCCTTTTTGCAATACTCTCCCCGGGCCAGGGAATCCTTCACAGAGGGATTGCACTGAGCCAGCAGAACTTGTATGCCAATGGCTTCATAATCTCTGCGAACTTCCTTCAGCGTATGGATCCCTGCTGTATCTAAAAACTGGATTGCGCTGCAGTCAATCACTATGGTATGGAGTTCCACGGGATCGTGGGAAAGTTGCACTGAAACTTCATCCTGGAGTCCACTGAGAGTCACTGTTTCCTTTTTGAGCTTTCTCTTTGCTGCCTTCTTCTGAGCTGCCTTTACTAAGATTGGGTTGAGAGTTTTTTTGTATAATGCAGATTTAAAACATTCTTTGTTTATGTAGTAGAGAGGGGCTACAAAGCGGAAAACCTTGATGCCCGGCTTAGCCTGAAGGTTTTTGTAAGCAGACACGGATTCAAAAATTTCTGACTCTTCCACCAAGCCAAGCAATGAACTCTTTGGCTTCTGAGAACGAAGGATGACGCAAAACATAGAAAAACAAACTCCAATAAGCAGGCCCATTTCAGTACTTATCAGTGCAGAGGACAGCATAGTGACAAACCAGATAACTGTATCCATTCTGCTAACCCTCCACATCTTGGGCAGATCCTTAAATTTACATAGAGCTCCCCGGAGATTTACAATAGTGATCACACCGAGGACACTTTTCTGAAGGGAATAGAATAAAGGAGCTATTACCAGGAGGACCAACAAGAGAACCAGAGCAGTTACCACGCCAGAAAGCTGAGTTTGGCAGCCTGTCGATTCTTTAACCAGCGTCTTTGCGAGAGCTGCGCTAGTCGTAAAGCAGTGGAAGAAGGAAGGGACGATGTTGCAGAAGCCGAGCGCATACATTTCCTGGTTAGCTCTGACCGCGTAGCCGTGTTTCTTGGCAAACATCTCAGAAAGTGACACAGTGATGGCAAAACCAATGATAGACATAGCTATTGCATCTGTAGCCACACTAGGAATTAAGTTCCAGTCCGGTGCTTTGGGTGGCATGAACCCAGTGGGAATGTGTCCAGCAACACTGGTATTGTATTTCTCATTTAGTTTTCCAAAATGGGAGGCTAATGTCGCTGCCACGACGACAATGAGTTCGGTAGGAATCGGTGCCTTAAGCTTGGACTTGAAGTGCTCATTGAGTTCTTTGGTTGGCAAAAGAACCAAAAGGCATAAAAGGCTGGTGATGAGATCACAGACATTGGTCTTATGGATGCTTCTGAAGATATGTATCCAAGTAGTAATGAGTGAGCCCACACCATTACTCCGAGGAAGGCTGAGCCCAAGGAGATACTTGGCCTGAGATGTAAGAATAGTGAAGGAGGCACCAGTGACAAATCCACTCAGCAAGGCATCTGAGAGGTAGACAGAAACAAAGCCCACTTGAAAGAAGCCCATCGCTACCTGGAAGGAAGGATATACAAGTGTTAAATATAAGTGGATAGGAGCCTCTAAATCCTGTATTACCCCCGGCATTTTTTGTACGGAGATATACTATCAGAGCATCACAGAATGTCAGAGCTAGAGAAAAACGCACTCATGCATCAATCCTCTCGTTTTAGAGACAGGGTTCATTTCACTGACACTCAGAGGGCTAAGCACACTGTTACTCATTAGCCCAGGTGAGACAAGAATTTAGGATTCCTACCTTCTTAAACTCTTAAAACAACTCTGTACACCACTCCCTCTCCTCATCCAAGCACCAAATAAAGTGAGCTACTCTTCCCTTCCCTTACTGGTTTCAATTGCCTGTAACAGAGTGTTAATGCTGGCACTGACTCCTGGATGCTCAAAGGCAGGGGCATGATGAGAATGGCAGATTAACAGGTTCTATGGGAGACCCAAGAAGAATTTCATTTCTAATCCTTTCTCCTGGTTGATAATACAGTGTTCCTCAACTTTTTCCCTCTGCAACAGTCCAACTACTATCTAGCAATTCTAAAGGAAAGGGGGGCTGGTCACCCATAGTTTGAAAAACTCCCACACTCCTCCTCTCCTAATCCCCATTCTGTTACTATTCCTGCCTACCTGTTAAGGCTGACTCAGCAATGTTTTTTGACATATAAAATCAAGGAGTTGTATTAGGCAGTCTAGGGTCCCTTTCTGGTCTAATTTCTTACAACCAAATAATTAAAATTTGGCTGACTGAAATTCATTGGTTAAGAGGCAGCCTAGGGTTGAGAAAAGAGACGCAGCCTTATCTTACCTAGAGAGTCAAACCAGGGTTTGAATTTTGGCTCTACCTCTCATACATCCTGAGCATTCAATAAATAATAGCTTTAATTATTGTGATATCTAAGATCCGTTACAGATCTGAGAGTTCATGCATAGCGATTTCTTTTATCAGAAACAACCACTCATGCCCTTGTTTCTTACCTGATAAACTCCAGCCATAAAGGTTACAGTGCTGCCCACTGCAATTGCATAGCAACTTCTGTCACATATCCTTTCGGATGTCTGGTTTAATGGTGTGCTCCCATTCCAAACCATTCCTAAGGGCGGGGCAATATGGGCAGTGTCAAAGCCAGCTTTGTTTAGTTCTCGGTCAACTACCTCACCAATCATAAGGCACAGTATTCCAAAAATGCCCACAGAGATGTGACGGGAAGTCCCCAGTAGGAAATAAATGATGCTGGCAAAAAAAGATGTGTACAGACCATAGATCGGTTCTTGGCCAGCTAAAAGGGAATAAGCAATGGACTGGGGCACCAACAAGATACCCACAATCAAACCGGACATCACATCTCCTAAAATGTTTTTCTTCAGATTGTATTTTGGGAGCCACTGCAAAACAGGAAGGAAACCAAAAATCGTATTTTTTGCTTTGGTTGGGCTGCACTGGCAACTCTTCCGTAGTTTTTTGATGGCAAATTGCTTAAAGTTGGTATTTGATTTCTCTCGAGGCTCCACGTGGATCCTAGGATAATGTCTGCATTGATTAGTGGCTTCAAATTGCTGAAAGTCAGGACTCGATTCCCTTTCAAGCTCCACGCGGATCCTAGACGGAGCGCTGTATTGTCCATTTCCTTCAAGTGAGTCCTTGGGTGACAGGTCATGTTGTTCTGTACTTTCCGAAGACATTTCTGGACAGAGATGCTTTAGCCTCCTACCGCAGAGAAAATACCAGAGTTAGCTGATTAAGTAACTGTCAGTGCACAACATTTTAAGAGCCCTACCTGTCATTCATGAGCATTAAGAGGAGTTCAGTTTTGAGGTAGGTATCTTACAGTCACTTTCCTTAGTAAAGCCTCATTTGTCTTCGTCAGAAAAAAACAAACAGACCATAAACATCCAAGTCAAAGCAAATAATTCCCTGGATACAGGACTTTTTGAGAGTATAAATCATTCAAGGATTTTTCTCCATGCCTGCCTGGATCCCCCCCCATAGTTTTTTCTCCAGAAAAGGTATCAGGGTGGCCTATTTCCTCCTTTCTATATGCCATCAACTGTCTTCTTTTCAGGTTTCTCACTCTCAGATATACTGCAAAATAGAATCTGGTCCCAAACTTTCACCCTACCTGCAAGTTCCTGAAACAAGAAAGATGATTTGGGGGGACTCTGTAAATAACTCCCTAATTGTTGAAAATAAACATAAAGAAGAAAGAGCAAGTGAAAGAGTAAAAATAAATGGTTTTGGAAAAAGAAAGAAGCTAGGGCGGAATGAATTTAGGTCTTTGAACACCATTCCTTTGCTTGGTAGGAAAGAGTAGAGAGAGGTTGATAAGAGATTGTTGAAGCAAACAGATGTCAAGAACATGGGGTGGGCTGATTGGGCAAGTGTCCTCTATATGCTCTGGAAGTTCTGGTCTCTTCTACTGTCTTCTAGCACGGAGTCATATCAGCTCTGTTGGTGCAAATGAAGATTCGCTTTCCTATTCTAAGGCCACACTCTAAATAGAAGTATAGTGTGGCCCTGCACTTCCACTTGGAGGTTAACCAGGTGATCCTGCATCTCTGGGTCCTGAGCTACAGAACTAGTGCCATTAGGTCTTCCACTAACAACTACAGGAAAACGAGGAAGGTAAAATTAACCAAAAAAGGGGGAGCGAGAAACAACAACAAAAAATCTTGTAATAAGAGTGAAAGAGGAGGGAAAAGCAACAGGCTCTCAAAGGAATAGACTTTTTACCAAATACTTTACAAATCAGTGTCTTTGTGTTGGCTGCTTGCTGAACTCAGCATGGCCATCCACCTCCTCTGCCTGTCAAGATCCTAATCGTTTTTAAAGCCCAGTTAAAATGCAACCTCTTATACAAAGCACTGACCAATCTCTTAGTCCCGATGAATCATTCCACCCTTTATGTCCCATGGCATTCTGCACTCCCGCTACAGTACTACACACATCCTTGTACTTGTTAAGTAGGAGTCTCTCCAGCTCCTGGAGGAAAGGGCATCTTGCTAACCATTGTAGTCATCAATGAATATAACTTAGTAACTCTAAGAGAACAGGCTTGCCAAATGTTTGAATGAATGAAAGAATAAATGAATAAACAAATTTATGACTACAGCCAGAGAGAGAAAACACAGTAGACAGAGGACTCAGGAAGCTTTCTGTTTTGGAACTGAAAGAAAAATAGGCCCTTGTGAAGTTCTATAAACCTGACATTACTAAGATGTCAGAATCCAGGACCCACAACTCATTTAAGAGCACAAGATATGGAAAAGTAACCCACATTAATTTTGTTTAGGATGAAGGGCCATCCCACTAAAAAAGAGTAAAATAATAGTTACTCTGATTGTCTTGTTCTGAACAGGATAAGGGAAAAAAAGAAATAGATTTAGATGGCCACTTACCCTGAGCAAGTCAATCAGACTGGTGGATACACACCGCAGGTCTTCATTCCTCAATGCAACCACCGTGTAACCCTCTTCTCACTTCCACTTTCAGGCCTACCTACTCCAAGTGTACTTCTTATGTTCTGTCATTCTATTTTGGAACAACTTTTGGTGATTTCTGGGTCAAAAGGCTTTTCCAAACCTAAGATATGCAAGAAAGGCATAAGAAAAACTAACAAAATCCACATCTTGCCCTATATGGCTGCTATCTGGTAAGGAAAAAGATAAAAATTAATACTAGAAAGCACAGAAGAGTGATGGAAACTGTAAGAAAGAATCAAACTGAAATGCTGAAAAACACAGAAACAGAAATAGAGAATGCCTTTGACACAATCATCAGTAAACTTGACAGAGCCAAGGAAAGAATTAATGAAACTGAAGCTAGGTCAATAGAAATTGTCTAAACTGAACAAAAAGAGAAAAACAGAATTTTATTTAAAAATCAGTAACAGTAATGTAAGAGAGCATGTAAGAGCTGTGGGACATATTAAACAATCTAACATATGCATAATTAGAATTCCAAAAGGAAAAGACAGAAAATAGGCAGAAGAAATATTTGAAGACAAAATGGCCAAAAATCTTCCAAAATTAATGACAGACAGAAAACTATACATCTAAGAATCTCAGAGAATACCAAGAAGATTAAATAAATAAAACAAAACCCCACATCTATACATTTTATATTCAAGCTGCTAAAAACAAAAGACAAAGATAAAATCCTAAAGACAGCCAAAGAAAAACACACACATTACGTACACAGGAACAAATATAAGAATATAAACAGACTTCTTATTGGGAATCATACAACCCAGAAGATATCCTTATCACAGAAATGTAACTATCAACCCAGAATTCTATACCCAGAGAAAATATATTTTATTTTATTTTTATTTATTTATTTTTTTATATATCTTTATTGATTTCAGAGAGAGGAAAGGAGAGGGAGAGGGAGAGGTAGAAACATCAATGATGAGAGAGTCACTGATCAAGCCAACAACTGGGCATGTGCCCTGACCAGGAATCAAACCCCGATCACCTGGATCCCAGGTCGACGCTCAACCGCTGAGCCACGCCCGGCCGGGCGAGAAAATATATTTTAAAAGATGGAGAAATAAACTTTCTCAGACAAACAAACACTAAAAGGACTTAATGCTGGGAGACCAGCACTACTATATAAATGTATACCAGACAGAAGAAACCCAGGTCTATACAATATATAACAAGAATAGAACATATGAAGATAAAATAAAATTCATCTTTTAATTTAAAAAAATCTTTAATTCCTCTAAAAGATAACTTTCAAAGCAAAACTAGAAATGCATTTTGTTCATAGCTTACAAAGTAAAATGTATGAAAATAGCAGGAAGAATGGGAGGGGGAAACCATTATGCTGAGTGAAAGAAGCCAAACAAAAGAATAAATATTGTATGATTCCACTTATATGAAATATCTAGAATGGGCAAATTTATAGATATAGAAAATAGATTACTAGTTACCAGGGGCTGGGGAGAATGAAGATTGCTTAATAGTTAGAGTTTCTGTTTCAAGTTTTGGAAATAGATGGTAGTGCTAGTTATATAACATTGTGAATGTACTTAATGCCACTGAATTGTACACTTAAAAATGGTTAAAATAGCCCATTTATGTAATATATATTTTAACACACTCACATACACAAAAGCAGGAGGGGAGAAAACATAATATTGTAAAATTCTTATACTATACATTAAATGGAGTGTATTATACTATACACTTGAAGGTTGGCTGTTATAAATTAAAGATGCATACTATAAACCCTCAAGCAATCCCATTGGTAATAGTCATGGCTAATATATCAACAAAATAGAAAAAATGGAATCACAGAAAATATTAAGTAATCCAAAAGAAGACAGAGAAGAGGAAATAAATAGGAACCATAGAAAATAACCTCAATATAAATAATTTGTGGAAAACCTGAAGTCTTAACATTAACCTGCTATTACATGACCAAGTCATCTACCAAAAAGTCTCTTCTCTTACATGGAAAAATCCGTTACACGAGAGTAAGGCTGGAATAAGTAGGCCTGCGCAGTTTGGAAATAATTTTCCAGTACTCACACTGCTTGTAAGCAGGGGAACCATGCCTAGGACCAAAGCCTTTCTGATTCAAACAGACTCTCTTCTGTCTCCGGAATGCTTATTCTGAAACTTGTCATATCTTCAGAAAAGCTGAACGAAAGGAACACAGGTCTATTCACAGTTTACCTATTTAACAATTCACCAATTGTTGATGTTTTGCTACATCTGCACTTTTGCACTCTCCATACACACAGGCTTATTTGGGGGGTTTTTTTCTTCCCCTGAACTACTTGAAAGTTGCAGACATCCTTTAGCCTTAAACACTTAACTGAACATGCATTTTTAACCACTATGCTATGCTGCCTCTTCTTCAAAAGAAGCATTCATTACAACACGAGACCAAATCATTTAGGTATACTCCTGAAAAATCTGCAATGGCTTCCCACCTCCTACTGAATTTAGTCTAAAAACTTTAGTATGGTCTTCTATGAATGAGCCTAAAATTGCCTTTCTTTTGCTTCCTTCCACACACCAGTGTCCCAGCCACCCATTCATGATACATTAAGCATCCTTTACATCCTTAAGCATCATGAGCTTTTGCTCGTGTTCTTTCTTTAGTCTGGGATGCCTTTCCCTTCTATCTCCATCTTTGTTCTTTTTCTAATCCTTTAAGGCCCACCTCAAGTGCCATAGGATAAGGGGGCTGAAACTTCTTGGGCTGTGCTTCCCCAACATATTACATGTGACTATTTAGCACTTACGTTTACATGCCTCTCATTTAAGGGCAAACACCAAGTCATTCTCATTTCCAACTAACCCAGCACTAACGAGACGCCTCACATTTGACATGTATGGCTATGTATCTATGTTTATTGAAATAAACATCTCGGTGAAGTTTCAAATAAATATAATGAAGACAAAAAAATATTCCTTATTTTCCGTTATCACAAATTATTAGCAATGTTCAGTTATGTCTGTGATGCAAAAAGAACCACCATAATGTTTATATCAGTAGTACAAGCACTATGACATACTGATCCTAGTATAAAGCCAAATATAAAAAAAATAAAATACCCAAGAAGAAAACAACTTAATGTAAAATCATGATCAAATAATTAAATAGTTCCAGCAAATAGTAATTCACTGCTTTCCAAAAGATTTCATATACATCTCCCATTTACCTCAATAAATCTGGGAACAGCGTATGAATTCCTCTCTCTAATATGAGCAAATTAAAAATTTAGTCACTTGCTCAGCTGGTAGGACCAGATTCCCAAACCTCACCTTCCAATCTGCAAGCTTAACTCTCTTTCTAAAATACTACATGGCCCCCAAGTTTGTTTCCTTGCTAAGAGGTCTTAGGAGCTAGTTTAAAGCAATACTCTGTGGCCAAGTCCTCAACTCATTTCTGAGTTATTATTAATTTTAATTAGTGAAGGGAACAAACTGCTTGAAGAAGGTTTGGTAAAAGGATTGTCTGTAGCTACATTTTGGTTAGAATAATTTGTATTCCAGACAATAGTCAAGCAAGCTGAGGAGGTTCTTGCCTTCATCTGCTTTTGCTGCCCATCTAACTGGAATGCTAGAATTTCTCTCAAATGCTGCCTTAATCAGGTCCTTCCTCGACACGACACATAAAATAGCATCACTGCCACCATCATGCCTCCCTCCAGAGCTCATCCCTGCCTTGCACTCCTGTCTCCTTTACTTTGCTTTATTTTATTTTTCTCCCTGACCCTCTCACCATCTCCTCTCATGCATTTACTCTTTTGTTAATTGTCTGTCTTTCCCATGAGAGCAATAACTTGCTGTTTTATTAAATTCTTAGCAAGTATTGTTGAGGAATGGAAAAAGGATAGTTTAACAACTGTGTGTTAAAAAAGGGGGGGGTTTACCCCTCTCCCTCCACTCCCTGCACACAATAACCAAGCTTGTGTAAAGAAGTTATACAATTTGGCAAGCATCTGCCTGGGGGATTATGCTCACTAAATGTTATGTCAATGGTCAAAAATCACCCCTAATAAATCTAATCTAGATCTCTGCAAAGCCCTGTCATTTCTAGGTCTTCCCCTAGGAGGCAGCACATTATAGCACTGTGAGTACAATGATATTAAACCAGAGATCTATTAAAATGCAAGTTCTCAGGCAAGTTCAGGGATGAGATTTAAGACTCTGTACCCTGGATGATTCTGAGCCAATGAGCTTAAGGCCAAACTTGGAGAAATACTGGGTATGATCTTAATCAGACCCCAGCTGTACTGTTCAACAGCAATACGGCACTGGGTGAAAAACTTCATTGTATTCAGCATCAGTTTCTCACCTGTAAAATGGGGATAGATAGCATCACCTAACTTGCAGGGTGTTGTAAAGCTCACACAAGTAAAGTACCTAGAACAGTGCCTGATATTTAGCATTTGCTCAATAAATGACAGTTACTAGTCTCTGTCCTTTGAGAGTCCTGAAGGAAAAAAGTGAGCTCATTTCTTTCCAACAGGTTTGGTTCTCCATTTCTTATTGGCTATTTTCTAAAACAAGAACTTCTGCTTAACCCAATTATTGGATATCACATTAGTTTCAGGCTTCATATACAGAGCCGTAGGGACAAAGGGGTGGGGTGGGGGTTGGAACTAGACTAGGTACCAGAAAGGAGTTTAGGTCCTGAATGCTTCTAACTCCCCATAGTCCCCAATCTGTGCAAGGCAAGGGCCCAGTCTGATATTCTGTGAGTTTGGGAGTACAAGTCCTAGCTCTGCAAATGACTTGCTGTGTAATTCTAGGCAAGACCCTGGTCTTCTCTGTGTCCCTTCAGGGTCCCCATCTATCCCTGAAAGAATTTCAAGTTAGTCCATGAATCTCCAAGAAATACACACAGGTCCTGATCTGTACTTAACCAGGTGACCAGGTGTGTGATTTTAAAAACCAAGATCACCAAGTCCTCTCTGGTGTCCAGGCCTCAGTTGCCCCATCTGTGAAGGAGGGGGAGAGGCAGCTCATTCTCCCGGGTCCTGCTCCCAGATATCTGGGTTGCGTACGACTCGGTCCGAAGAGCAACACCTTTATCAGCGAGGTGCAGGGCACATGGCGTGATACGTGGGTTGGAGGGAGGAGGGAAGCCCTCAGCCCCAGGGGCAGGGCCAGGAGGACCCGGCGGGGGAGTGGGGCTTTGACACTTGCCCTTCCCTCGCCTCTGCCTCTGCCGGGCATAACCCCGACCACGGCTGGGCCACGACGTCCACGGCCACCGTGGGTCCGGGCTTCCTCCCCGCACGCCTGGGACACAGCCAAGATGACCCTAGGAGCAGCCGGCGGACCTGGGGGAGGCCCGCGTCGCTCCCCCCGCCCCCGCCCTTCTCGGGCCCCCTGCCCTCTTCTCACCTCCGGGGTCGGGG